TCTGAAAGGTCAGAAAATGAACCCAAAGCGACAGACACGCTCCCAGCTTTGCACTCTCACAGCTGCCACAGGGGCCCTTGCTCAGGACACCTTCCTTTTCCTGCCCGGAGCTGTGATAAGGCGGATGCTAGACTCAGATTTCTAGCCATGGCAAGATTTGGGCAGACATCACGTTCTGGACAGCAGAGTTTTTAGGGTATCCCCGCGTGAGCCTCTCCTCCCAGGCTCCACCTGGCGCCCGTCCCCGGGAGGCCGAGACGTGGGGGCTAGGACGTGCTGCTCCAGCGACCTGGGCAACGAATTGTGCTTAACGTACTTTTTGCTGTGTAAGTCAAATCAGGTTGGCTATAACGATATAGGATGTAAAAAAAAGGGGGGACTCCAGGATTAATTTTTTTTTCTTTTCAATTTTACCTCCAGAAAAGTTTCTGGTTGGGGACAGCGCAGGTTTCTTTGCCGCCCTTGGTCGTGAAGCAGGAGCCATTTCATACATTTTTAGCAGTTCCTGCCCCACTCCATTTTTCCCTCCACTGCCACCTCACCCTCCCCCCCCCCACACACACACAAACCCAACTCCGTGCCATCTGTAGGGCGACCAAGTGTCTGATGCCGCCCTCGGAACTTCCGTCCTTGGTTTGTGTTAAAAGTAACATTTAATTTCTGTTGATTAAAAATCACCACTGTGAAAACCAAGCCAATAGCTGATGATTAAGACATTGAGGACATTTGTTTCTTGGGATGATTTATTTCCCTTCTCATGTTGCGTGCGTTCAAATATCCAGCAGATCAGCTGCTCTCAGCTCACGCCCGATTTCCTTGGTAATGTAATGGGTGTGGGAATCATGACTAAGCCCCTTAGCCGGTGATTGCTCTGGGTGTGGACAAGAGACCCATGACCCAGACTTGCCTAAGGACACCTAAAGGTCACTTCGTGATAATAGGCAGACCGACAGAGCAATCCCACTTAAAACCTTCACAGTGAACATTGAGGTGGTGATGCCCAGACCCTTGGAAGACACCCAAGAGGGCACAATCCTAGCGTGAAAGGGTGACAGAGTTAGGAGGATTGGGAGGAAGGGACAGTCTCCAGACTCACTAGCAAAGCAACCCCTGCAGGCTTCTGGTTTTCCAACATTATTAAATAGTTAACCCACTGTTACGGACTGAACGTGTGTGTGTCCTTCCTCCCCCCACCCCCTTCATATATTGAAGTTCTAATTCCCAGTGTGTTGGCACGTGGAGATGGGGCATTTGGGAGATAATTAGTCAGGAGGCCAGGGCCCTGGGCTGATTGGCGTCAGTGCACTTAAAAGACGAGACCCAGAGAATCTGATCTTGCTGCCAAGCAAAGGCCATGTGGGGACACACTGAGAAGGTGACCGTTTGCCCTGACCAGAAACTAAACCCTGGTAGAACCTTGATCTTAAACTTTCTAGCTCCTGAGCTGTGAGAAAACACATTTCTGTTGTTTAAGCCACCCCGTGTGTGCCGTATTGATGCTGAGACACCCAGTTGTATCGGGTGTTTTGTTACAAGTAGCTGCAAGCTTCCTAGATGCCCTGAGATTTGTCGGAAAGAAAACACTGCAATTTTAAACATATTTCAAGTATCATGTTCTTCAAGTAGGCTTGGGCCAATCGGGAATTCACTGTAACACTATCATACTTTTAGTAGTTACGCTCAGGACTTGGGAGACAGAGATGAATCTGGCATATCCTTGACTAAGATGTTGACAGTTGGAGCCGGTGCTGTGGCATAGTGGGTAAGCCACCACCTGCAGTGCCAGCATCCCATGTGGGCACCAGTTCGAGACCTGGCTGCTCCACTTCCGAGCCAGCTCTCTGCTATGGCCTGGGAAAGCAGTAGAAGATGGCCCAAGTCCTTGGGTCCCTGCACCCGTGTGGGAGACCTAGAAGAAGCTCCTGACTCCTGGCTTCGGATCAGCATAGCTCCAGCTGTTGTGGTCAATTGGGGAGTGAACCAACAGATGAAAGACTAATCCCCACCCCCACCCCACCTCTCCTCTCTGTGTAACTCTGACTTTCAAATAAATAAATAAATCTAAAAAAAAAAAAAAAGATTTTGAGAGCCAAGTGAAGGAAAAAGACAAACTAGGGCAGGTGTTGTAGTGCAGTGAGTTAAGCCACCATTTGGGACACCTGTATCCCATGTGGGAGTGCCAGTTGAAATCTCAGCTCCTCCACTTCTCACCCAGCTTCCTGTTAATGTGCCTGGGATGAAAACAGGTGATGGCCCAAGTACTTGGGCCCCCTGACATCCACATGGAAGACCAGGGTGGTGTTCCTGACTGGTAGCTTCAACATGGCTTACCCAACCAGTAAATGGAAGATTCTCTCAGTCTCTCTCTCTCTCTCTCTCCTCTCTCCCTCTCTCTCACTGTCACTCTGCCTTTCAACTGAATATTTTTTAAAAAGAAAGACACATTGACAGTGACATCAGCAGTTAGTAAGTATAATCTCAGGGGCTGTGGAAACAAGTATCCCAATCAGTGGGAAAAAAGCCTTCCTAGGAAAGGTGACAAGAAGATGAATCTAAAAGGATGACTAAGTCTGTGATCCAGTGAGAGTCGTCATGACAGGCAGAAGAACAGTTATGGACAAGGTGTGAGTATGTTAAATGGCTTATTATATGCAAGGGAGCCTCAAGCCATGGAATGTTGCTACGCATAAAGTCAGAAAAGACGAGTGCGAGCGTCATCTGGAGGGTCTGGAATGCTAGGCTAAGAAGTCTGGGCTTTGTTCCGGTTCCGTAGCTCGGCGGCCGTCAGATGTCAGTGCGCAGGGATCCCCTCCAACCTGCATTTTCAGCAGACACTCCAGATGTGTCTGATACCTGGAGACATACTACTCTGTCATCCTCCTGTGGTACGTTGTGCTTTCAAAGACAGCTGTGATAATCGTCCTCATCCCACATGCTTTTTTACAAGGTGAACTTGCTACTCACACATCAAGAGGGAGAGTCTGTTTCTCTCCCCTTGCATGTGGATTGGCCTTGTGGTCTCTTTGACCGATACAACCTAACAGAGCTGTGTAATTTCCAAATGTAGTCGTGATGGGATTTACAACTTCTACTTTGGCTTCTGGGAATCCTCTTTCTTGGAGCTCAGCTACCATGCTATGCGGAAGTCCAAGCAGCCACATGGAGAGGCCCATGTGGAAGGGAACCCAACTACCTGCAATAACCCCAGTCGAGTTCCCCAGCCAGCATGGCCCGCAGCTGCCAGTCATGTAAGGCCATTGCGGGCCTTCCAGCCATCCCAGGAGCCAGTCAACACCGTGTGAAGCTGGAGAAATCCTTCAGTAGACCTATTTTATTTTTAAAAAATATTAAATTGTGGTTGTTAGCCACTAGTATTTTTTTTCTTTTGTGCAGTAATAGAGTACCCAAGCATTGCTCTTGATGTCTGGCCCAGAGAAGGAATTCCCCACCCACTGAGATCCCTTCCCTACTTAGCTGGGAACCCACGCACGAATCATAGCCACCCTCTAAGGAGGGTACGTCGCAGTATTAGATCAGAAGCTGCTATGGGTCTGAGATTTTACCCTACTGACACACTAGAAATGTGGACATCCTGACAGAAAACGTGGTCTCTGGGTCAGAAACAAAGATGACTTATTCACAGCCCAAGCAGTAGCCAGAGCAATATCTTGGGTCTTCACGCCAACTTTCACCTCTACAGGATGACCCGCTCTTTTGCAATACACTTTGTCACTCCCACATCAACAGATGGTATCTATTTCTCCTCCTCTTGAATGCAGGCTGGCCCCATAACCTCTTTTGACCCACAGATACCCATATGGTACCTGCACATGCAGTGAGGTACATCAGGAGAGGAACTCCATAATTTAGGAAACTCTATTGTATCAGGCTGCTAACAACCTGCCCATTCTGCCTTCCCATGAGAGTAACTGCTCATTACCTTGGAGTGTAAGAAAGTCTCCCCTGGAGAGAAGGAGAGCTCTTTACCTTTATGCCTCCAGACAGGCACTGGGGAGGGAGACATCTCTAAGCTGCACTGTGTTGGAACGTCCTGTCTTAACTAGGCTGTCAGTACATTTGTTCAGAGGACCTTGATGGTGCAGAAACCTGAGACAGTCCTGGAGAACTGTCTCCCAGCACACACAGGCCCCACCACCCTTCTGTCCTGCCAAACCCACAGCTGTTGGGCTGACTATCCTGCATGACCAGGAATCTAGTGCCTGGTGCTCAGATGCCCACCTGAGCTGGAGTCGAAATGTGGGAGGCAAGGGCATGAGGGACTCTTCAGGCCCACGCTGCGGCTCACTGGGGGAGATCCAGGGCCTCCCTTGTCCTCACAGCTGCAATCGGTGGCCGCTGTTGGGAAGGTGGAGGCTTTCATGAGGGTGTGAATGTGCAGTTTACGGGAGTCGGCAGATGTGGAAGAATGACGCAGGGCACCCATTGGTACACAGACTCGTTAGTTTCCCCATGGAGAATCTGAGGATTTAGTAGCTTGGTGGGGGAGTACTGAGAATCCACGTTGTATGAGATACCTGGAGTGATTCTTGGAGAGGTGTGAACAGCTCATCTTTTCACTTTGTAAAGATAACTGGCGTGGCGTGGTGGAACACGGATTGAAGAGGGCAAGAGAGGCTGTGGGAAGATCAGTTAGAAAGTTGTTGCAATCTGAGGAAGAGCTGATGAGTGAAGGCCAGGCCTGGGACAGGACTCAGTGACGCTGGGATGGGCCCAGGCTGGCGCTGAGGTTTCCGGCTTGGGTGGCTGCGATATCAGTCCCTGAGATAAGGAACGCAGGGTGACAAGCAGGGGGCAGAGGTGGCTGTTGTGGGCATTTGGGAGTGAACCAGCAAAAGAAGACGTATGTGTGTGTCTGTCTGTCT